GCAGCTTCGCTAGGCCTTCAGAAGGTCTGGAGGCTTCATTCTTGGTGGGCGAGCCGCGTTGTCCCACGAAGGCTCCTCAGCCGTGTTTGCTCCAACTGAGCTGGTGGGAATTCAGCCGCAGATACGGTTGAGTTAGGCTGCTGTTTACCAACCGGCCGAGGTACAAAGCATATTTGGGCGGATGGTTTTTTCTCTTGATGGGGCTCAAGTTGTGGAGAGGACGTTGTGGTTGATTGCTGAGGTCACCCCTGAAGGACGGGCGGGGAGTGAATGCCCCTTTTCTTACACTTCTCGTTGCTAAGAAGTCCTTTGTCCGATGGGTTGAGTCCTCGGCCACCGAAGGAAGCTGTGGGAGGGGGCTTTTCTTCGGTTGCGTTGATGGCTGTGGGATGATCTCACTTGAGCCTGATGGTGCTGTGGTCAGGATTATGGGCAGTTAGTCATCCCTCTCTTTGATCATAAACAGGAATTGTGTGCCGTTGTTCTCTGAATGGCAGGAAATGTCGGGAAAGGTGTCCTTTCTGACTTCACACTGTTTTCTTTTGCCTGTTTTCTTGGACTTCCCATCAGTGTCACCCATTGGACGTTGACCCCAATGTCCATTCCCAGCCTGGGGCTGCGGATCAAGTCTCGCTGGACATTTGATGTTCTGGACTCTTAATCCGATACAAGGCTTGGTCAATTAGCTGCCAGCCTTGTGAGGGGTTTTGTTCTCCCGGGGGGAAATGCAGTCTTGATGGGATCTCGCGCCGATTCAGCCAGTCACGTTGTCAGGTGGGAGTAGCAGCTCCTGGGGTGGGTGGGTGGGTGGAGGGTGGGTGAGACCCTTTCTGGGCTGTCTTTGATCAGGTGAGTGTGGAGATCCTCCTTTCTAGTACAGTGCTACGGTATCCGGAATGTTTCATGGGTAAATTGCGCATTTTGTCCTGGTTCTTTCTCTGCAAAATAGACTTATTGCTAAATTGGGCTCCAAAGATGGCAGACCGACCATATTTGATTGTTGTTGTTTTTTATACACATAAACACATCAACAGAACACATAAACACATTAACAAAAATAACCACATAACTTAAAAACAACATAGGAACAA